GATCTTCCAGGTGCTGCTTCACTTCTCAAATGGCTGCATCCGCCAGGGCTGGGACAGGCAGAAGCCAGGAACCGGAGACTTCACCCAGGTCTCCCACCTGGTGCCAAGAAATCAAGCACCGGGGCCATCATCTGATGCTTACCAGCTACATCAGCAGGGAGCTGGATCGGAAGCAGAGTAAGCGCCGCTCAAATCAGCACTCAGATGGGGGTGCCAGGGTGCCAAGCGCTGGCTTAACCTGATGCACCCGCAATAGCTGCCTAGCGGCAGTTTCTCAAGTCCCAGCATGGACACCTACCATGTGTCCCATCCATCTCTCGACCAAGCAGTTACCCAAGCAGAATGACATTGTGCATCTACACAAAGGCTTAGAGCTTTGAATGTTCATAGCAGCTTAATGTGCAAGAGCCCCAAAGTGGAAAAACCCCGAATGTCCATCACAGGTGAATGGACAAACAGTGTGTATCCAACTGCCGAAATACTACATAGCAATAAAAACAATGAATTATTGATACGACATGGATGGACCTCAAAATAATTATGTGGCGTGAAGAGGCTGGGTCAAAGGCAGTACACGCTGAGCGAGCACATCGGTGGTGGTCTCGGGGCTCTCCGGATGGGAGGGGAAGGGGCTGGAGGCAGCAGTGACTATGAGCCGTAGGTAGACTCTGGGAGACGATGGATGAGCACTGTCTTGAATGGAGTGATGAATTACATGTATGGACAGGCGTCAACACTTCAACTATGGACATGTCATCATCATCCTTTATCAAGCTTGTTTTTTAGCACAAAGGTAGGTACCATCACGGTGGTACTATTAACCCACTAATATGGATAGAACTTAAAAGATGGGTCATATAAACTGTTGATAAGATACAGATTTAACCAGAACCCTCAGAAATTGCTGGTTGGGGTTAAAAGGACGGGTGGGCACTGGGCCTACGAGTTAAGACATCCACATCCCATTTCAGAGTGCCCAGGTTCAACCTGCAGGTCTGGCTCCTGACTCCAGCTTCCTGCTAATGCAGACCCTGGGAGGCAATGATGATGGCTCAGATCTCTGGGCTCCTGCGTCCCATGTGCAAGGCCTGCACGGAGCTCCTGGCTCCCAGCTTCAGCCCTCCCCGAGCCCCAGATGTTAAAGCCATCTGCACCTCCTTGAAAGAATAAATAAAACTTTTAAAAGTGTCCTGCAGCTGCTTAGGAAAATAGTCCTGCAGTTTCTCACAAATTAACCACTGGGGCTGGTGCGGTGGTGTAAAGGGTGAAGCTGCCACCTCCAGCACCAACATCCCCTATGGCAGTCAGTTCAAGTCCCAGCTGCTCCACTTCTGATCCAGCTCCCTGGTAATGCGCCTGGAAAAGCAACAGAAGATGGCCCAAATCCCTGGTCTCCTGCACCCACATGGGAGATCTGGAACAAACTCCTGGCTCCTGGATTCAGCCTGGCCCAGACCTGGCCACTGCAGCCATCTGGAGAGTGACCCAGCGGGTGGAGACTGGATGGTCCAATTCTGACTTTTAAAAAATTAACCATAAAGAACATTCCCAAGTATTTCCATGAGAAATGAATGCCTCTCTCCAAATGTTAACAACAGCTTTAGGCCTAACAGCCAAATCCTGAAAAGCAACCTAATTGTCCATCAGGAGGTGAATGGTTAGACTTTTGCAGCACAGTCACGTAAGGGTAATAAAAAAGGAAAAGCTCATCATTACTGCATACTCGAAACACCACACGGAATAAAACAAAACACACGAGTGCATTCTGTGCCCTCCTCTCCACACACTGCTCCACGATGGGCAGAGGTGACCAGCGGTTGACAGGTCCAGGCACAGGGTGGGAGAACCGGCCTCCGTGGGACGTAACAGGCTAGAAGGGTGCTGAAGGGGCTCTGTGCCTTGCTTCTGGTGGTGCCAACATGTCTTCCGAGATCAGACGAGATCGGGCGCGTTCAGGGTGGTATGGCCGTAGACCCAACTCGTCTTCAACCATTTACTTCACATGAGCAAGGCCCATTTTAAATAAATTAAACCTCACCAACCTAAGTTAAGACAGAGACAGAGACCGCAACCAAGTCACAGGCCTCAGACACACTGGCTTCTCACTTTCAAACTGGGAAAAACAATTTTAAGACATGAGGAAAGATAAACATGATCTAGATGTATGCTAAGATTAACAGCATATTATAAATATTGTTTTAAAAATACAATGCTGATTTATTATTTTTCAAAAGATTTATTTATTTATTTTCAAAGTCAGAGTTACAGAAAGAAAGGAGGGGAGAAGAGGGGAGGGAGGGGAAGAGAGGGCAAAAGGAGGGAAAGAGATACAGGGTGATCTTCCATCCACTGGTTCACTCCCCAGATGGCCACAATGGCCAGTGGTAGGCCAGGCTGAAGCCAGGAGCCGGGAGCATGATCCAGGTCCCCCAGATGGCTGGCAGGGACCCAAACACTTAGGCCATCCTCCCTGCTTTTCCAAGGCCATCAAGGAGTTGGATGGGAAGTGGAGGTGCCAGGACATAAACCAGTGCCTATATGGGATGCCAGCGTCACAGGTGGCAACTTTGCCCAGTACGTCACCATGCCAGCCCCTGATTTGCTATTTTTTTTTTAAGATTTCCTATCTTTTATGGACATACAATGAAGTATTTGCAGATGAAATGATAGGGTTCTGGTATCTGTTTCAAAATCCTCTGTGGACGGGGACATGGGAGGGATTAAGGATGACTTCTGGAGCTGGGTGATGGGAACCTGGTGGCCCCTTGCGCAGCCTCTGCCTTTGTGTACATTTGAGTTTTCAATACAACAGGAGCGTGAAGCGCAACCTCCATGTGACACTGGGCACCTGCCTCTGGTCACCAGTTTTCTTGCGGCTGCCTAGGGCGCCCCATGGCGCTGCCCTGTCGGACATCGGTCACCGTCAGAGGTGCAGGGCACGCGGCTGGGGATGCGGAAGTCCCGAGGCCAGTGACTTAACTCTGTTCCTCGGCTTCCTTACTGGTGCAGCAGAAGCCTCCGCCTCGGGCTACCGTGAGGACTCAGAGCACCCAGTGCAGCAGCCGGGACAGGCGAGCTCACCACTGCCAATGTCAAGGTCAGTCACACCAGGGTCCATCCCAGGCAGCTCTGTTTCATTGGGGTTTCCACCCCAAAGGTGTCACTGCCCATGGCAAATACTCCTATCTGCAAGTATGGAGTAACTAATTTAAATTTCATACAACGCAGACCAAACGAGTGGCCTTCTCGCCATGGTCACTGTGCAAAATGCCAGCCTGTGGCCTCTGCAAGGTCAGAACGATGAGGGGGGGCAGGTCGGTGCCCCTTCCTGGACAGACAGCCAGCAGAGGGAGCAGGCTAGCAGGCACGGAGACATGACGACTGGAGCAGGGGTCACAGACAGCAGCCAGGCTGCCTCCGCCATGCCTGGGGTACGGCAATGAGGCTCTCACTGCAGTCAGAGAACGTTGGCCAGGATGGGGCCGCCCCCCTGGTGACCATCGGTCTTGGAGAAGCAAGACCCAAAGGGTAGGACGGGACAGAGGGACCGGCAGCTCTCTGCACTATGGTTTCACCTGTTCATACAACAGGAGCAGACAAACCCCACAGAGAACGCAGCCCGCATCTGCTGGTGGACTGTGGCATGCCTGCCCCCACTCCCAGATTCACCATCCCCAGCACCTGTGATCAACAGGAAGGTGGAGGAAGGACGCTGGCAGCCAACACACATGTGCTGGCAGCCGGGGTGGGGGTGTCGGAGAAGCACCCCTCACATGGCTCAGCTGAGGGCAACTCTGGCCACCAACTGCTCCAGTCAAAGGTCACCCTGACCCCATCTACCACTAAGGCTCCACCTCCTGCCTGTCAGAGTGTGGGCGGGTCCTCCAGCAGCCCAGGCTGAGCTGGAGCTGGGCGTGCAGAGAGCTCATGGAAGGGCTGGGGCGCAAGGGGGATCAGCTGGGGAGCGGTGAGCAGAGCGCTGAGGCTGGGGCATGGCTGAGGACGCACCAAGCCCTCACAGCTCTGTGTGCGGGACGCCATCCGCCTCGCCTCAGGGCCAAAGCCAAGGCCCACCCTGACCTCTGGAGGAAGCTGGCTGACAACCGGGACACCAGTCCTTCCTTGAAGGAAAACTGGGGGTCCCCCCACCATGTACCCACCCCCAGTCAATGAAACAAAACACAAACACCCCTCCGGTATCCATGAGGATGGGCTGGTCCCAGGCTCCCCCAGGACACCCAAACCTGCAGGTGCCCAAGCCCCTTACATGTAAAATGGCAAGGGACCGGCCCGTACCCTCCACACCTCCTCCCGCACACCTTAGTCTCTGCTGCCGAGGCGAGCACCCCTCCCGTACACTTGAAATCATCCCTAGATGACTTAGCACACGTAATGCAACATAAATGCCCAGAAACAGGCTGCATCGCTTAGGGAGTAAGAACAAGAAAACAGCGAAAGGTCCATCCACTGGTTCACTCCTGGCCACAGCCAAAGCCAGCTGCTTCACCCTGGCCTCCCACCTGGGCAGCAGGACCCAAGCACCCGAGTCGGCAGGGGGCGCACTGGCGGGAAGCTGGTGCGGAGGTCCAGCAGCGGCACCCATCCCAAGGTGACTCTTCGTAAACAAGCATTTCTGGTGTGCAGTCCGTCGAACCCAGGGCGAGAGCCGCCTGCAGCCCTGGGCCCGGGCCTCGCTCCCATCTCTGCGCATACCTGGATCTCCGCCGGCCTCTGGTCCCGACTCTCCCCGCCTCTGCGGACCACGCTCCCGCAGAGGCCGAGGGCGCAGGCCCCAGCAAGGCGCCAGCCGTCCAGGGCCTCACCTGCCCTCGCCCCACTCACTGCCCGCTCTGCCCCGCACACCTGTGCCATTCTTCTGGAACCTCCCCACCCCCGCATTGCCCTCCACGGCCACAGGGCCCGGCCTTGCCCCTCTCGGCTGGTGACTCAGGACTTAACCCTGCCATTTCCCTCATTTCCCTCTCCCCCGGCCAGCCTACCTTCCACCTGCGCCACTGGGCTGACCCCCGGGGCCCCATTCCAGCGTCCCTTCGGCCTTTCCTGGGAAGGCGGCTCCGCCGCCATCCTGCTGACATCATTGCCTTCGCACGTGGCAGAGCTGCCTGGCGCCAGGTGCAGGAGAGTCTCCAGGTGCTGAGAGCCACACCATCTAAGAGCCGCTTTCTACAAAGGAGATCGGTGAAATGTTAATAACATATTTAATTTGCATTTTAATACATATACCCTATGACATGATATTATAAATAATTTTATAGAACTCAATAAACAAATATTGTCATGTGGACACAATGAATATAAACATCTATAATCAAATATGTGATATATACAGTGGGATACTTGACTTTTTTTTTTGCACTAAGTCCTGGAAATCTAGTGTGTATTTGACACCCACAGAACAGAGTGAGGGGCAGCTCAGGTGCTCAAGATGCTGCTCAGGTGGTCCCGGGTGCCCCGAAACAGTGCCGCAGTGGCCTCCTTACTGGGGTCCCTCGTACCAGTGTGATCATCCTTTTCTGCCCAGGAGGGGGCGCTCACCCCATGCACCTGGCCCTCAACTGACAGCCAGCTCCTGGGCCTGCTGTGCCAGCCACACTCCCAGCAGGACCTGAGGGCTCCCTGACTCGTGCCCTTCCCATTTCTGGCCTTATCCACCTGTCGGGGGTTTGTCAAGAGGCTGGTTGTCCAATGACACCTCTTGGATATCTTTATCTGCGTTTCTCTAATTACTAATGACCTCCTCTAGTTGCTGAGCTACCTGTAGACTTCTCCAACCTAAACAGGCATTGATCCCATTGATTGGCTGCAGGCTTGCTGTTGGGCCACTCTGTAGTAACGGAGCACCACAGAGCTGTGTGAAGCCCAGGTGCTAAAGTCCTTTATGATGCGGGGATGTGGGCGGCAGAGCTGGGAGCCCAGCTTCATGCAGCACAAGGCCAGGAGGGAAACGGCTCTGGTGCAGCCCCACACAACCCCGCTCAGCTGTCCTGGCCAGTGCTCTCTCCTCCAGCCTGCTCTGAGGGCCGGAGAGGCTGGGGGTTCCCAGCCAGTCCCTTCACGGTCTGAGTCCTGAACAACTGCAGGGGGAGAGAAAGGGGTGAATGTGTCTATGCATGCCTATGGGCAGGTGTGTATGTGTCTTTAGTGGTGGCAAGATTCCTAGGAAGTCTTCAGGGGACAGCTGTGTGGTACAGCAAGACACGTTTGGGATGCCTGCCTCCTGCACTAGCGTGCCTGAGTTCAAGTCCCAGCTATGCCTCTGCTGGGAGGCAGTGGAGATGACTCAAGTGCATGGGTCCCTGTCACCCAGAAGGGAGACCTGGATGGAGTGACAGGTCCCTACCTTCAGCCTGGCCCAGTTCTAGCTATTGTGGACATTTGGGGAGTAAACCAGCTGATGGAAGATCAATCTCTATTTCAAATAAAAATAAGTAAATAATACATAAATAGAAGGGGTAAGTTTATGTGATATGCAAATCATCCTCAGTGAGGTTTTTATTTTAAAGCCTGCATACCCTCAGGACTAGGCGGCTGGGAACTGGGGTTGGGGCTGGGAAGGGGACTAGAGGTCTGCATCCCCTGCATAGCAGTGGAACTCAGCACACGCACCACCTTGTGGGGAAAAAGCATCCTTCCAGGCCCCTTTGCAGGGTCTGCTGGAGGCTTTTCTCCGTGAACTCTGCCAGCCCAGCTCCAGGCAGAGTGCCCCCGACTCCCCCCTCATCGCACGTCACCCTCCAGGTAGCCCCCAGCACAGCTGCCCAGCCCTGTGAGGAGGTCCATACCATTATCGTTCCATCCACTGGCCTGAGGTCAAACAAGGCTGGAGGCACACCGGGGCCAGAACTCGCACTCAGATCTGCCCAAGTGCGGAGCCCTGCACCAACCACAAGCCCACTGTCCATGAATTCTGGAGTCCCAGTGAGCAGGAGCCCATCCGCCTCCTCCGCTGGCTCCTGGGACATCTTCACCTCTCAGCCCCAAGCCCTGATCCTCGCTCAGAGCCACGCCACACAGGCTGCACTGTCTGGGTTCCAACTCAGCTGCTCTCTGCCCCATCCCCTGCTCCCAATGCCAGGCACCAGCCCAAGTCCAGCCCTGTAGCAGCTGTAGCTCCGACAGGAAGCTAAATTGAGTGAAAATTGAGTGCAGCCGGGACTCCAGAGCCAAAGAACACTAATTACAGCAGGATCCCTGCAGGAGGAGAGGGCTCAGGCTGCCAGGAGCACTCTGTGGTTCATTTAAAACCAAGAAGGATAAAGAATGACAGTGCAGTGAGCAGGAACACCCAACAGGAGGCAGAGATGTGGAGTGGACCTGGCGTTGGCCTCCAGCCCCAGCCCTGGCCTGGCCTGTGGGCAGCTGAGGAATTCTTGTCCTCATGAACACGTGAGAACATTGCACAGTCAAGATGGACTGCCTGCTTTGTCAGGTTGGGCAGGCTGAAGACAACCCCAGAAAGCAAGGGCCATCCCTCCCCCATCGCCATCTGGGGGTCTTATGCTGATCAAGCAGTAATCCTATAGCCCCCCTCCCCTTTTTCCCCTGGTGCCAAAAGACACTGTCCAAACCCCCTCCTCCTCCTGCTGACACCTGCTCAGCCCCGCCTCCCTCTGTGGTTTCCCAGCCTGAGCTGACCCCAGCATGAGGGCAAGACACAGCAGTAAATGGAGCAGGTCCTCCCCCTGGTGGCCAGACAGGACCCTGCACTGAGACAATGGACAGGCCCTGACATCCAGAAGGCTGTGCACCTCAGGGCCAGCCAGGCCACCTGGCAGGTGCAGAGCAGACTGGTGACACAACCTGGACAGCCGACGTCACCAGAAACAAGCAAGTAAGCAACAACTGTCCCGACATAGTGTGCATAGAGACGATCAGGAAAAAAATTAGGAAACACTGGGATCCCAGAAAGGGAACCTTGAATGACCAATAAACAGATGAAAAAGTGCTCAGCCTGATAGGATTCAGGGAGGAGCGAATTCCAACCACAATGCGATACCACTTCACCAGCAAACACTGATGGCCTGACCCAGCCACTGCCATTGGGCGCACTCTAGCACAAACACCTCGGAAAACAGGTTAGCAAGGTGTAGCCTAGCAGTGAAGATGCCTGCATCCCAGATTGGAAGGCCTGGGTTCAACTCCCAGCTCTGACTCCGGATTCTACTTTGTGCTAACGCACAGCCCTGGAGGCAAGTGGTGATGGCACAAGTAATTGGGGCTCTGCCACCCCCATGGGAGACCTGAATTGAGTTCCAGGCTCCCAGCTTCAGCTCAGCCATGGAAGGCATTTGGGGGAGCGAACCAGTGGATGGGAACCCTCTGTCTCTCAAATAAATAAAAGCTTAAGGAGCAGATGTCCTGCCTCCCCTCCGCAGGTGCAGACCCAGAGAATCCCACGCCCTGGGGCACATGAGGTTCTTCACAGCACTCTCTGGGCAGGGCAGTGGGTGTCCCTCAACAGGATAGTGGCTGAACAACCCAGAGCACCACAGCTGCACAGAGGAATCTCAGAAACATAACAGTACGTGAAAATTAGCAAGTCAGTGCTGGTGTTGTGGCCTCCGCCTGTGACACCAGCATCCCATATGGGCACCTGTTCAAGACCAGGCTGCTCCACTTTCTATCCAGCTCTCTGCTAATGCACCTGGGAAAGCAGTGGAAGATATCCCAAATCCTTGGGCCTCTGCACCCACGTGGGAGACCTGAAAGAAGCTCCTGGCTCCTGGTTTCAGATCGACCCAGCTCCGGCTGTTGCTACCATTTGGGGAGTGAACCAGCAGATGGAAGATCTCTCTCTCCTCCTGTCTCTGTAACTCTGCCTTTCAAATAAATGAAAGACAAATATTTAGCGGGAAAAAAAGAAAAAACTAGCAAGTCACAGAATCATAGATGCCATAAGACACTGCTTATACAAAGCTTAAAACATGCAAAATGCATTAGACACGATTTAGAGATGTATCTGTGCATAACAAAAAAATGACAACAGGGATGGCAAAGATGTACCTGCAGGGAGGGAGAGAAAGGGAAGAGGGCCCAGTGCAGCTTCAGCTGCATCTGAAATGTCTCACTTGCTTGAATGATTCGGAGCTGGGTATGACAAAACGTCAAGCCTGGGGCATGAGTTTTATCCTCTACAGGTGACTGGCACAGCCATGAAGACCTGCTTGGGACACCTGCATCCCAAAGGGAAGTGCCTGGTTCAAGTCCTGACTCCTTTGCTTCTGATTCGCACTGCTTGCTAACTGACACCCTGTGGGGAGCAACTCAGACTAGACTAAGTTACTGGAATTAAGACTTATTCTATGCATCTGCTCTCCTACAATATGGCGCTGGGAGAGGAGTAAACAACTTCTACACAGCTGCCTCCAGTTCGACCAATAACCTGCAGGAGCTGATCCTACTCCTGATTGGAGGAGAGCAGCGTACTCGGCGTGTGGGTAGCAGAGTTGGGATTGGTGGAAGAGGACTATAAAGGAGGAGAGAGACAACATGCACCAGGAACATCTAAAGGGAACATCCGGATAACATCTGAGCAGCCCCCGAGAGAGCCGGCCCACGGTGTGCCGCTCCCCCACAGAAGTGGGGAAAGTGGCAGGGGGAACCGCCCTTCCATGGAGGTGGAAGGGTCGGCAGCCAACCCGGGAAGAACCAGCAGAAAACCTGGGAAGGGCCGAGCAGACAAAAGAACAGCACAGGGTTTAGTGTCGTTCCTCCACGAAGAGGGGGAGCGACAACACCCCAGGAGGCAGCAGGTGATGGCCCCAGCAGGTGGGTCCCTGCCACCCACATGGGAGACCTGGATACAGTTCCTGACTCCTGGCTTTGGCCTGGCCCGAGCCAGGAGAACCTGGCAGATATTTGGGAAGTGAACCAGCAGATGGAAGATCCATCTCTTTCTCTCCTTCTCTCTCTCTCTCTGCCTTTTAAGTAAAATGAAAATGTTTAAAATAAAATATATTTGATAATTGTGCAATATGCTTGTACACACTGGCTTGGGTTGGAACCTACACAAAACCCCCTCATTCCCCACCGCCTGCCCCCCAGGTGAACGACCCTGGCCTACCACTCAGTCTATCTGAATTTTATTTTGTTGTCTACACAAGGAAAACAGGGAGATCTGTCCCAATAAACCAGAGAAAGGAAGAAGTCATAGTTGAGAAGAAAAAAAATTATCTTGTGTGCCTGCTACGTGGCCAGCAAACTGATGGACAAACACTGGGAGACAGAGGCTGGTTCACTCAGCCCTAAATCAGGGTGGGGGCCAGGCAGGTGCTAAGCCAGAGTCCCCGGCATGTGGGGCAACCCCTCCTGGGGCCAGGCGACTACAGTCGGTGGCAGCCCAGGTAAAGTCCACGACTGTTCTCGTGACAGAGCTGCTTCCATTTCAGGTCCCCAAAAGCCCCTTCTTTTGTGTAAAGGATGGGTGTCCACAGGGTCTGACCCCAACATGCAACTCTCTTTGTAACTGAAAGACCACAGGCCACGGCCGAAGTCGGCCTGCCTGGTGTGTGTGGTTGGTGCCCTTAGTTGCTGGTTTTCCACTGAAACCATACCAGTTCCTTCTGACATACACTGGTGAATGTGAAAATCGACTGAAAGAGAAACAGAAACCGAACACCCTGAAGCGATTCAGAGGGTTTGTCGATGTGGCAGAAACCAGGGGTGACACGCCAAGGGTGAGCTGTGGGAAACTCCGGGTGAAAGGAGGGGCTCTGTGAGGAGCTCAGGCCAAGGGGCTCGCCCAAAGAAGAGGAACAGGAGGACGGGGAGAGGACAGGTGGCCGGGGGTAGCCAGATCTAGGGCACAGAGCGGACTTCCT